TGTTTTGGCTTAGCTTCTTCTTCACTCAGATCTTAAAAAGTATTTCACACCAGGAACTGGTGGCTCACGCCTATAATCCTAGCTATTCACAAGGCTGAGATCTAAGGATCACAGTTCAAAGCCAGCCTGGGCTGCCTACAAAGTCCTTGGAACTTTCTCCAATTAACTAGTAAAAAAGTCAGAAGTGGAGCTGTGGCTTAAGTAGTAGAGCACTAGCCTTGAGCAAAACTAGCTCAGGAACAGCACCCTGAGTTCAAACCCAAGAACCAGTACACACACACACACACACACACACACACACACACACACAGAGTACCCTGAGTTCAAACCCAAGAACCAGTACACACACACACACACACACACACACACATTTTACATACACACCCCAATTCTGCATGGAAAACTCTGGTCAACACTTTCTTTGGCACACAGGGAATTTTCCATGGCTTGGTCCTTTGCTGGTTCTCTTGGGATGGCCCAGTGCCAGGATAAAGAATTTCAGCTCTGAAGGCCAGAGATAAGTTTGCGGTCCCAGCTCCTGAGGTCTAGGCCATCTCCAGCACCACCATATTAAGACTACAGCCTTCCACTAATTCCAACCCCTGTAGGAAGGATCTGTGTGGCCTCTGGCAGCCAGGCCTGCCTTTCCTTTTATTAAGGTCCCAGTCCTCAGACAGAGTTGGCTCTCCACGTCAGAAGTTGTGCCAAAGGCCTCAAATTCAGCTCTGTCAAGTTATCTATATTGGGAAATAACTTGCTCTTTTCCTGTGGTTTCAGATTAAGACGTGCAAATAAACAGTAAATTCTTTCTCTTAAGAACTTACGTGACATATTCCTTGGCAGATCCTATCCTCTGTGCATATTGGTGATGTATCAGGAACAACAACAAAAGTATGTGCCAAGGACAGCAAACTTCCTATATGTGTGTATAATTTCTATTATATATGTATCATATATAGCTCATTTGTTTTATATATATATATATATACATAGAGAGAGAGACAGAGAGAGTATACATGCTATATATGCATACTCAGTCCTAGGACAAGTAGACTAGTCAGGGACTCGTACCATTTTAGAGTATATAGAGGCTTTGTTGATTTTTTTTTTCGGTTGTGGGTCTTGAACTCTGGGCCTGAGCACCGTCCCTGCTTTCTTCAGCTCAAGGCTAGTGCTCTACCACCTGAGCCACAGTGCCACTTCCGATTTTCTGGTGGTTAACCAGAGATAAGAGTTTCACAGACATTCCTGTCTGGGCTGGCTTTGAACCACGATCCTCGGATCTCAGCCTCCTGAGTAGTTAGGATTACAGGTGTGAGCCACCGGCACTCGCCTTTATATCAAGGCTTTGAGCAGAGTACACTTGTCAAAAACATTGGTCCACCAAATGTTCTGGTGGACATTATAGATGTGTCAAAAATGAGAGTGCAGCCAGGTGCAGTAGTGCACAACTATCAGCCCAGTACTCGGGAGATGGAAGCTGGGTGATGAGTTTGAGGCCAGCTTGGTGTATATAGCGAGACACTTTTCTCAAAAAACAAACAAACAACAAAAAATACCTGATATATATATATAGCTCAGTGGTGGAATGCTTGCTTGAGTTTGCTCTCCAGCACTGAAAAAACAACAAACCACCACCACCAACAAAAACAACCCACTGGGTGCTGGTGGCTCAGGCCTGTAACCCTAACTACTTGTGAGACTGAGTTCTCAGGATTGTGGTTCAGAGCCAGCCTGGGCAGGAAAGGCCTTAAGACTCATCTCCAATTAACCACCAGAAAACTGGTAGTGGCACTGTGGCTCAAAGCTGTAGAGCAGAATTGCTCAGGGACAGTGAACAGGATCTGAGTTCAAGCCCCACAACTGGGATAACAAAAAACAGTCCAGATAAGGGCTGACTGGAAAGGAAGGAGTCCCATTTTATTTTGGATCCGGTCGTGGGGCCTGAACTCTGGGCCTGGGCGCTGTCCCTCAGCTCTTCAGCTCAAGGCTAGCACTCTACCTCTTGAGTCATAGTGCCACTTCCAGCTTTTTTTCTTTTCTGCTTATGTGGTGCTAAGGAAGTGAACCCAGGGCCTCATGCATGCAAGGCAAGCGCTCTACCACTGAGCCACCTTCCCAGCCCCAAGGAGTCCCATTTTATAGTGAAGAGATTTGTTTCATAGTACCAAGAGTACTGGTGTCTTACCAAGGCACAGACAGGCAGCTACTTGACTCAAGAACCAGTGGAAAATCCCCATCTTGTTAGTTCAGAGCTATTTCTACTCATAGGCCTATTAAAGGTGGGGAGTCTGGAAATGTTAGAAAATATCAACTCTAAGGCATAAAAATAAGTAAAATAAAAACATAATGGCAGGCCCTATATAGGGTCACTAGCCAGCTTAGGAATAATCAAGCAGGGAGATGTTATCTTATGGAAACCCGTGTCAATCACCAATAGCCACACACATACCCATTCGGGGTATATATTACATATGCCAGTGTTCTGGTCACAAGGCTTTTGCTTTTTTTTTTTTTTCATATTTATGCATTCTAGCGAAAAGATCTGCAGAGAAATGTTCTGCATTTTTATTGACTTCCATTATCAATTAGACATCGTGCTTTGGGATTGTGCCTCACGCTCTTCTAGGGGCCAGTGCAAGCCATGGTGAATGCTAGCTTTCTGGACCCAGGAAGGTGCAGAATCTACCTAATGCTTCATTTCTCCCACTGTAGTCTTCCTGACCCTCTTCTTCCACATTTTCCACATGCCCCCTCCACCCTGCCCAATTTCTCGACATCACGAGATTTCTCTCTAGCCCAAGGACTCCATGTGGGCCACTGAGTATCTTAGTATTTTCTTGTCTTTCCATAGCTGTGGTGGGATATTAACTGGGGAAGATAAAGGTCAGCTGGAATGCTCCATCATGACTTGGCCCATGAAATAAAGGATTTCTCAACTTCAGCTATTTGAAACACTAGATAGCCCACTTCCTTACGTGATAAGCTCTGAAGGATCCTTCTGCAGGCCAATTAAACCCTGTTATGAATCAAGTAATTTCTTCTGCTTGCCCTGACCATATTACATACGGACCCAGGAAGCTTATCTTTGCCCCCGCTTCAATCCTGAGAAGCATCTTACTAACCTTTGTATTAACAATGAAGTACAACTGGAGTACAGGTTGATCACATTTTCATTATACTCTCTTCCACTTAAGCAACATTGGTTCTTTGAAAATCTTCAAAAACTTTCCACATGACAGGAAACTGTAAAGCTTATCCAAAGCTAGTATCTTGAAGTTGGGTGTGGTAGTGTATGCCCGTAATCCCAGCACTCAAAAGGCTAAGGCAGAGAGATGGCAAGTTTGAGGCCATTCTAGGATAGCAAGGCTATTTTACTTTGTCTCAAAAATAGAACAAAACCCTCTAAAGACAAAGCCCTTTAATGCAAGTCTTCCTCCACCTTGGTGTTTCTATACTGGCACAAAGCTTTGCTCAGATCAAAAGGGAATGACCTGGAGGGGTCAGGGGAGTGGGAGAAAACAAGGGAGGGGGTAACACAGTTCAACAAGAAATGTACTAATTAGCCAGGCTAGCTGATACTCAGGAGGCTGAGATCTGAGGATCACAGTTCAAAGCCAGTCCCAGCAGGAAAGTCCATGAAACTCTTATCTCCAATTAACAACCAAAAAACCAGAGGTGGCACTGTAGCTCAAGTGGTAGAGCACTAGCCTTGAGCTGAAAAGCTGAGGGACAGCATTCAGGCCTCATTATCTTAAACTGTAACCCCTCTGAACATCACCTTTACAATACTATTAAAAAAAAAAAAAAAAAAGAATGACAGGCATTGGTGGCTCATGCCTGTATGTAATTTTAGCTACTCAGAAGGCTGAGATCTGAGGATCAAGGTTCCATGCCAACCTTGGCAGGAAAGTCTGGGAGACTCCAATTAACCACCCAAAAGTAGAAGCAGAGCTGTGCTTAAGTAGTAGAGCACTAACCTTGAACCAAAAGGCTAAGGGACAGTGTCTAGGCTCTAAGTTCAAGCTCTAGTACTGGCACAAAAAAAGGGGAGGGGGTAAGGAATGATTAAAAAAAAAAAGGAGGGGCTGGGAAGGTGGCTCAGTGGTAGAGTGCTTGCCTTGCATGCCAGAGGCCCTGGGTTCAATTCCTCAGCACCACATAAGCAAAAAAGAAAAAAACCCAGAAGTGGCGCTGTGGCTCAAGTGGTAGAGCGCTAGCCTTGAGCTGAAGAGCTGAGGGACAGTGCCTAGGCCCAGAGTTCAGGCCCCACGACCGGACCCAAAAAAATAAAAAATAAAAAAAATAAAAAAAAAGGAGAGGGGGTAATGACAGCTTTCCTTTGGAATTGTCCTTTCCCTATCAAGCGTTTTAGTTGACAAGATTTTTTGGTAGGAGGCAACCTTACAGACAAGACATGAACTTTGTCCTTTTCCCTTTTTCAGGAAAACAATGTTTGCCAGGTGTGATGACATATACTTATAATCCTGGTACTTGAGAGCCATAGGAAGGAGGATCTGGAGTCCAGAGTCAGCCTGGGCTACATAACAAGAGACTGTCTCAAAACATCATTAAAAGAAAAAAGGGTTTGAAAGCCATGTTTGAGACATGTCAGGAAAAACAATTTGATATTTGGAAATACCAGAACACATGCTGGGGGTGGGGGGTGGGGGGTGGGGGGTGGGGGGGGAGGGATGGAAGGGGAGAGGGAGTGACGCTGGTTGCTCTGTCCCTTCCCTGCAAGGCTCCTCAAGTTCATTTTGTGTCCCTCAAAGCCTGGCCAATGAGGCTAAGCACCCACCACCTCCCTACCCTACTTTTGTTGTTAGGTGTTTTGTCCCAATACCTAGAAATGACAATTATGGTGGTCATAGGTGTGGAATTTGTCTCTACTGTTCAGCATGGCTTAGAATCAAATTTCCAAGCATAATAAAAATAACAAAGTAAAGGAGGAGGGGTGTTTAAGCAATCAAATCTTCTGGGAAGAGAAGAGGACGGGACAAGTGAATAACAGTTTATTTGCATATACACAAGAGAAGAGTCGGCCTTCTGGGTGAGGAGAGCCGGGGCGGTGAGGAGGTAAGGCCAGCAGAGGAAGGCACCTTGACAGACAACAAGAGACTCAGCTTATTAAATTGATCACAGTTGTCAACTTCATTTGTCCCAAGCCAACAACTTATATAACTCATTTACCTGCCCCAAGCCAACAACTTATATAACTCATTTACCTGCTGTCCACAAAATCATTTACAAAACCAGGTGGAAATAAAATGTAGAGAAAAGGTTTTATCTATCTGAACCTGCCACTTTAAAACTTTATGTACAGAATGTGGAGGGTAGAGGAAAATATAAGATGCACTGCCAAATAGTCATTAATCTAATCAGTGCTATCTGCCCTGCTAGGGAAATTACTTAATCATGGGAGCATTTGGGGATTAAGTGCATCTCAAGTTGGGACCTCAATTCTACAACGATGCAGGCAGAGGAGCTATAGTAGTAGTTCCGGCCAGGGGGTCAGGGCCAAGATCACACACAAAAGATGTGAGGCAACTAAAATAAATACCCATTTCCCAGCTGCTCAGTGGGAACATCCTGGGGCTGCTGTCTCCTGGCCAGCTGAACTGCAATGCTGCACATCTCTCTCAAGGATGGCAGGCAACATTCTTTGACTTTTAGGCAGGCACTCTTTCACCTGAGCCATGCCCCCAGTCTTCCTGGACTTCTATAGTTAACCAAAATAAAACCTGACTTTATGAACATTATGAACTTCTCTTTTGAGCAACCAAAACAAGGTAAAGGCTCCTTAAATCGAGGACCAAGTTCTGCATTTGGGGACTATAACCATCCTTAGTTCCTAAGGAAATTTCTTTCTTTTTTTTTTTCCTTCAGGACTGTCTTTAGAGAAGTCAGAAGAGGCTATATGTTGATCAGGTTAAAACAAAACAAACTATAAGGATTGGGTGTGCTGACTAAGAAGGGGAAGAGAAACACACACTGAGTGGTTATATCTTTTTTGTATATAAAGGATTAAAAATTCAAATTTAATACATTTTGGAAAAGCAAATGTAAAATGACTTGGGCTTATAAAACCAGAATTTACAATTATCCATGAATAGTCAAAGACAAATTATAGAACCATTTAGATTACAAATCCAAAGTAATTCTATTATTAGTTACAGAATCATCGTCCCACTTCCCCCGTACGGGTCCAGTTATTGAACCATATGCATCCCCACCGCACACACTCCGCCTCCTGCTAGCACAGTGCTTCACACCCAACCACAGCACACACATTCTAGGCACACCTTCCCTTGCAGAACTTGGTTACTTCCTCTTGGCTCACACCAAACACTTTCCTTTCATACAGAACCCAGCCCCATCACTAGATTTCATTCTTCAGCCCCCATAGGTTGAGGTTCCAGTGGGACAGATCCTTGTCTAAAAGGAGTGCTGGACAGTGAGACCATACTAGCCTTGTGCTAGCATCCCCCTATTACCAATCTCAATGGGGCTCCTGGCTATCTAGCACCTTTGCACTGAAGTTATTGTTCTTTCTCTTCCTCACGTTTTGCCAGTATTCCGCCTTTAGTGTCCTCTCTGTCAACAAAACACTTGATCATTCCAAGTTCTTCCTGTCTTAACCTTTCATTGAGGGATGCTAACCACCACTACAAAGCTGAAAATCTCTGGGTCTTTTTTCCTCTTAATCATTCCATACCTCAACAGAACTGAGTCTCTTCTGCAGCCAGGAGTGAAACCAACACCACTCTCCCTATCCCCTCTGCCTCCTAACAGACCTACTCAGTAAGAAAATCACCTTGAGATGCCTACCGCTCTGCAAAGATCAATCAGAACCCCATATCCTCTTTACTGTAAGCCTGAGGAAAGACACCAGGCCCAACACTGACAAATGGTTTTGAACTGAATTAAAAGAATAAAGTAGCACATTCTGTTCTTCACTACACTTCATTAACACACCTCTAATATCCACTTTAGTAGTTTGAGCACAGAGCTCTTGAAAGCTGTGCTTTCTCCTTCTTTCAACACGCCAAGCCTCCATCACATGAATTCAAGGAGGCACCTGCTGGCCTACATGCCTTGACCTAGTGCCTGACTGGCTACATTGTGTTATCTGTGACTAGTCATATTGTATGGCCCCTCTGCAGTACACATTGCCACACGCTCAGTTTGCAAACAGCGGAATTTATCAGGGAACATGTGCTCTTGAATCTGATCTTACGTGCTAACCTCTCACTAGCATTAAAAATGCTCTGTTTTTAGGATGTGCACATTAAATGTTCAATGAAGTATTCCTTAGAGAACATGGAAGATTCCTTTAAGAAAGGAGTAGCGTTCTCCCCTCCAGCACAGCCAATGGACTGAAGGCTTCTTTGCATTCTCCCAGCATAAATCTACAACTCACTGGCAGTACAATCTGATTAACAGAGCATTCACCATCAACACCAGAACCCCTATGGCATGTGAACAGGTGAGATGGCAAAAATTACAGACCCACAGGTTCTTGCTGATGGCTAAAAGAAAGGTATCATGAGACAAAATGCTCACATGCATTGGTGCACACATGCATGCGAGAACAAGTCAAACGTCCCAACACGGATTCCCTTTCCCAGAACCTTGCTCTCGCTGACTAGAAGGGAGCTTTGCTCCTCAACACAGCACAAGCCAATGGCTAGCTAGACATTCCAACCCACGGGTGAAGTGAATAGAAGGGAGCAGCAGTAGACACAAAATTTTAGGCCCTGGTTTTATGTGCCTTTAATACTTTTTTCCTTTCCTCCATGTTCACTAACAAGATAAAATTTGTAAGGCTACTGTTTGTAGCTGTTTGCTTTCCCTTTGTATTTATCATGTTTTCAATTTCTTCTCTGAGGAGGAATTCTCTGAATCTGTATCTTCTAATTCAACTCGGTGCCTTTTGAGGCCACTGTGGCCATCAGCAGCCCGGCTGCTGTCTGGGGCTGAGGGGTCAATGGGGTCCTCTCTCATTACAGCACTGGTGGCCTCACTGGCCATTTCGGACGCACAACAATCTTTGTGTAGGAGAGTCCCTGACACAGACAAGTTATCATGGTCAGTGTTGGAGTGTCCTGGGGAAGAAAAGGTCACTGTCTCTAGTTCCCCAAAGTTCTGCCCATTGTTGTGGGGGTGAGGGGGCCAGGGGTGTAAGCGTCCATTGTTGTGGTTGGCACAGATGGTTTCAAGGCTCCTCTCCTCACGGTCATCAGACTGGGTCCTGGGGAGGTTGCCAGGCCCACCGTCAAGAGTAGAGCCAGATGGCTTAGGGACTGGAAGAGAAGGTGGGTCCTCAGCCTGGCTGCTCAGGGCCTTGCTTAGGGCCTTTCCATTGAGCTTCTTGGTTTCGCAAGAAGAGTGTTCTAGAGAGCCACCATTGTTAGTGTCCTCAGAGGTGCCCTCTGATGCCTCTGCCCAGGGATGGCTGCCGTGCTCATGACCGGGGCCATTGCTAGGATTTCTAGTGGAAGGCCCTTCTTTAAAAGCATCCTTGCTAAGCCCTTCAGGGGGCAGGTCCTGGTTCCTCTGGGCCCCCGCCGTGTTTACACAGGCTTCCTTACTAGAAGAAGGGGCTGGGTTGTCTTTGTGGCTAGTTCCTGCTCTCCCTTCATCGGCTTCCCCAGTCACAATGGAGGGCTCTCCATCTTTGTTATTTGAGTAAGAGATATAAGAGTAGCGGAGCCATTTGTAAGCTTTATAAATCTTTCGCTCAACAGATTCAATGTCAGAAGTTGGTGATGCTCGGTTTGGCTGGATCTCCAGGGTGGAAGTGCTCCGCTCAGGGGAGGAGGCAGGGGAGGAGGAAAGATCGTCCACCTTGATCTGGGGGTAATCGTAGTTGTCTTCTCCAATGTAGGTGTTTGTAGGCTTGATTGGGGCACTAGGCCTCTCTTCTCGGGGTGTCTTTTGTCGTCGACGCATGGCATTTCGCTGCCGGGTGGAGGCTCGGCGTTCATTCAGTTCCTCTTCATCCTCTGAGCTGCTGGAGCTGCTGGAACTGCTGGATTCATCTTCAGGACTGGGTGACCGTGGGCGGGGGAAGAGATCTGTATCCAGTTCAACCTCACAGGCATTCTCTTCAGAATCAGACTCGTTGGACAGAGCCAGAAGGCGTTTATCCTGGTAACGCCTCAGAGCAGACAGGCGCTGCTGCCGAGAGGCTGCGTCCTCACACGTGGATGTTGGTGGGGTCGGTGCCACAGCATTTGTGCTGGTGACCCTAAGGGGGCCCAGGTGGAAGGCATTGTCAGCAGACTCATCTACTGTGGGAGGTGGGGAGCGGGGCAGTGAGGCCGAGGACTCTGAGTCAGTGTAGCCTGAGCGCTCACTGACTCCTGCATGAAGTTGAAGGATAGTACTTTCACTGAGGTCACTGTCTGAGTCAGAGCTCCAGCCCTCAATTTCTCGGCGAACCAGGGAGTCAAAGAAGGCCATCATCCGGGGATCTTCCTGGACCGACTGATTGGCATAATCGTGGGACAGGCCACTCCCACTATTCAGCACAAGGCTGATATATTCTTCATGGGTGTAGAGGCAGCGGGAATCATCTTCAATCCGGCCATCAAGGTCTCCAGTACATCCTGGCTGCTTGTATGGGCTCCAGATCTGCATAGAAGATGGAAAACAAAAGCCATCAAGACTCATTGGAAAGTGGGCTATATTTGGTAGCAATAAATGCCATTAAGGCAGAGCTTCTTTGAATACTCCATGTTATCTTAAAGTCACTACCTTTAAAAATGTATTCTTTGCCTATAAGCCTAGCACTTGAGAGACTGAGGCAGGAGCATTGTAGTTTAAGGCCAGTCTAGGCTATACTGTGAGACTCTGTCTCAAGCATCAAGGCCAATTAGGTACTTCTCAATTTTAATAGCTGAGCACAGTGGTATATGCTTGTAAAAGGCTTATGTCAGGAAGACTGCAGTTTCAGGTCAGCTGAGGAAGAAAAGTATGAGACTCCAATCAATGGAAACAAACATGCCTGTCATCTTAGCTATGAAGGGAAGCCTAAAATAGGGAAATCTTAGTCTAGGTATGTGCTCAGAAGGGAAGCAAGGGTCAAAAATAAGTGCAAAAAGGAGCTGAAGGTATAGCTCAGCAGCAGACTGCCTGCCTGGAAGACATGAGGAAACAGAAGAAGAAAGAAGGAAGGAAAGAAGGAAGGAAGGAAAGAAGGAAGGAAGGAAAGAAGGAAGGAAGGAAGGAAGGAAGAAGGAAGGAAGGAAGGGAGGAAGGAAGGAGGGAAGGAAGGAGGGAAGGAGGGAAGGAAGGAAGGAAGGAAGGAAGGAAGGAAGGAAGGAAGGAGGAGGAGGAAGAGGGGGAAGAGGAGGAGGAAGAGGAAGAGGAGGAGAAGAAGGAGGAGGAGGAGGAGGAAGAGGAAGAGGAAGAGAAGAAGGAGGAGGAGGAGGAAGAGGAAGAGGAGGAGAAGGAGGAGGAGGAGGAAGAGGAGGAAGAGGAGGAGAAGCAGCAGCAGCAGCAGCAGCACCACCACCACCACCACCACCACACCACCACCATCAGCACCGAACAAATAAAAAACAAGTCTGGCACCCCTGTGATCCTCGCTATTCAGGAGGCAAATGTAAGGAAAATCATGGTTTGAGGCCAGCCCAGGCAAAAAAGTTCACAAGACACTGCTGGGAGCAGTGGTGTGTGCTTGCCATCCCAGCTTCTCAGGAGACTAAGATTGGGAGGATTTTAAGTTCTATGCCAGTCGGGACAAAAATATTTTTAGACTCCAATTGAACAGGAGTGGTGCATAGTAGCCATCCCAGCTACAGTGGGAAGTTTAAGTAGGAAGATCATGATACAGGCCAGCCCCCAAAGTGAGATCCTATCTTAACAATGATCAGACTAGGGGCTGGGAAGTTGGCTCAGTGTCACAGCGCTTGCCTTGCATGCATGAGGCCCTGGGTTCGATTCCTCAGCACCACTAAGCAAAAAGAAAAAAGCCAGAGGTGGCGCTGTGGCTCAAGAAGTAGAGCACTAGCCTTGGGCTGAAGAGCTGAGGGACAGCACCCAGGCCCAGAGTTCAGGCCCCACAACCGGACCCCCCCCCCCCCAAACAAATAAACAAAAATCAGACTAAAAAGGACTGGAGGTATGTGCAAATTGCCTACCTGGCAAGCCTGAAGCCCCAAGTTCAAACCTCAGTACTGCCAAAACCAAAACCAAACCAAAACAAACCAAAAATTAACAACAACAACAACAACAACATGCTTTCTAAGACTGAATCATGTAGTTGTATATGGAAATTGAGGCTTTCAGAGTTAGGTGCAAGAAAGTATGATTCAAGACAGAATTAACCTTGTATCTGGAGGCCTAACCTCTGTCCCTAGGTCCAAGATAACATTTTGTCTGCCTCACAACTTCTCTCCCCTTTACACTCCTCTATTAGAAAACTAGGAGTTATAATCCTAATCTAAAATTCGGATAGAGGGGATGTGAAGATTAGTCAGTGCATTAAAAGATTCTCAGAAGATTAACACTGTGCAGAGAGATACCACTGTCCAAAGTGGAAAACAGACTCAGCAGTTGGTCCTCTGAGAGTTTCAGTCTATAGCTCCAAACAGAAATACTGCAGCTCTACTCAACTGTAATCTTTCTATTTTAACCAATGGGAATTGCTTATTGGAGCTTGATAAGAATAGTCCACTGCCTACACTGCAGTTCCCACTTGGACATGCAGGCATCAGTTACCCAGGAAACTGGGTTCTCTTAACCAGGGAACTATTGGTTTGCTCCCTTAATCTGTTAGCTTCAGAACAGGTAAGACACACTCACCTGCAGGAGTGATTACAATCCCATCCCTTAACACACCTCAACTCTCTAGTCAGACACATGGACTCATAGCTACCAGGTAACAGAACTAGGATTCTAGTTCAGGTCTGTCTGATTCAAAGGCTCAACTTTATAGGTTGGATAAGTTTGCAAAAATAAAGTTCAACATAATTAAGTTGTCATAGCAAACAAGAAGGATTAGCTCTACCTCATCACCAGATTGGTCCATAGAGCAGCAGAAAATCTGTTACATCACTGAGTTGCTATAGCAACTCAATGAATTCCGGGTGATTTTCTTGCCTGACAGGCTGTCTATCTTTAGATGGCATCTAACCCAGAGAACAGTAACCTCACATTCTCCACGCACCATCAAAACAAAAACATTTGTTTCCCCAAAGCTATCTCAGGATGAATCTGCCTCCTTGTGAAAATAATGCTCATTCCTCCAGTGCTTTAGTTAGCAATTTCTGGAAAACAATGTCTCTTAGAGGAGTTCAAAACAGCCTGAAGAAATCCAGAGCAGCATCTTCCCACAAATCCCCAACGCAGATTCATTCTTCAGTTTTGTTATCTATCCCCAGTTCCTGTCCTCAGCTGTTCTCCCCTTTTCGGCTTCATAATCTCACTTAGGGGTTTTAAGATGGCGATTCCCTAAGTTTGGAGTGTCCAGGAATGACCTGCAGAACAATGTTGACTCTGAGCCCACTTTTTTAATTTTTATTTTTAATTTTTGGCCTATTCTAGGGCTTGCACTCTGGGGTACTCTCCCACTACGCCTCCAGTCTGGCTTTTTTTTTTTTTTTCTTCTTCTTCTGGTTAAGATGAAGCTGGTTTTGGACTGTGATCCTTAGATCTCAATCTCCTGAATAGATCAAGGATTTGATTTGCCAGAGCCTGGCTGAAGTTCCAAATTCTCAGTAAGACATAGTTTGGTGCCAAGATTATGTGTTGTGTTTTTGTTTGTCTGTTTTTCTAGTCCTGAGGTTTGAACTCAGGGCCTGGACACTTTCCCTGGTCTTCTTTTGCTCAAGGCTAACATTCTACCACTTGAGCTACAGCTCCATTTGTGGCTTCCTGGGTAGTTTATTAGAGATAGAAGTCTCACAGACATTTCTTTTTGGCTTGGCTTTGATCCGCGATCCTTATATCTCAACCTCCTGAGTACAGGTGTGTGTTGCCAGCGCCTGGCCCAAGAGTATGTGTTTCTAACAAATATTCAAGGGAATGAGTAAAAGCCAGTTTTAAGAAATACTAAAAATATAGTCAATATTAAATAAGTAGCAGAAAATAATGAGTTTGTCTGAATGGATTTTCAAATTCTTTGTGAGACTGATTGATATTTGATACACATTTAGACATAGTATCCAGTACAAGGCTCAAATTATAAATGCAAATCTCCACAAACAGATGTCTCAGGACATAAAAACATAAAGGCAAACTCCTTAGGATGTTTTGGGGGTATCCTAAACTCTGAGCCCAGTCTTTTATCTCCCAGTTCAAAATTGGTAAAATGTTGCTAACCATGTTTTTCAATATGAAGACAAGTCTACTTGTCCTTCATATCATCTCAGAATTAACACAAGTACAAAGCTGGCCTAACTACTTTGCAAGCCAACTTTATGGTTCCCATCTGTCCAAGCCTTGCCCCCACTTTCTCTTTAGGAATAAAAAACCATAACATTAAAAGACAGATTTTATTTGGGCTCCGGGATTTATTAAGGTGAAGTAGACTGATCACTCCTGAAGCTTGGGATAATGGAACAAAACAATCAAATGAAAGGGTTCCCACTCAATTCCCAGCTACCTAGTGACCTCGGGTGACAGTTTAAACAGTGAAATTAGATGGGTCTCATCCAGCAAACACCCAGTCTTCTCCTCAAAGGACTGACGGTACAGTCCTTTGTAGGGTTCGGAACCCAGGAGAGGGAGGAGCAGATGGGAACCCAACCCCATCGCTTCTCACAGCTCTGAGCATGATATCAACCTTGGAAACCTCTGTTTCTCATCCACAGACATGAGAATGATGAAATGACATAAGCAATAACCAAGCACCAAGAGGCAAGGCCGTTTCACTTTCATTTGAACCTCACAGCAGGAAATCAATAGACTCATCCAGAGATTTTCTTTTTCTGACATGGAGGCAGTAATGGGGCTTAAGCTTAGGGACCACTTGAGCCAAGCTGCTAGCCCTTTTTGCTTTTAGTGATAAAGTCTCATGCTTTTGCCAGGGCCAGACTTCTCCCCTCTGAGTAGCTGGGATTACAGGCATGCAACATGTTAACATGCCCAATTCTCAAAAAGGCTTTTGAGCTTCCGAAGTACAGACTGTCTCTATTATCTTGGTCTTTACCCTTAAAACATCCATTTCAAACACTGTGAAGTACTTCATTTTTTGACCTTGAATATCAACATCAAAGCAAAAAAAAAAAAAAAAAAAAAAAAAAAAACCCAAACCCAACTTCCTATTACCAAGCATGACTCCGAATTGGAGCTAGATTTGGAGCAAAGGAAGAGGGCTAAGATTTCTCTGTAAGCCTATGAAGAGTTGTTCAAAGGCCAAGTAAAAAGATGAAGTTCTATTCTTTTTCCAAGAGCATTCAAGTGGAAAGCCAATTAAGTAGCAAGTATCTGAGTGGACACTCCCTGCTTGATGTAGCAGCTCTCTTAGTTTGTCTGTGTACTGACTGTAGCTATATATTAGGTCCTAAATGGCTACACTGCCTAATGAGGCTTCTAAGGCCCTCTGGGCCTGCTTCTTTACTTTACCCAATCATTTCCTCTCCTTTCCCCCTTTTTTGTCTTCTTCTCCTTCTGTTTTCCTCCTCCCCCACCCTCTCCTCTTCCTGTCAATCATAGGGCTTGAACTCAGGGCCTGGGCACTGTCTCTGAGCTCTATTGTTCAAGGCTAGTGCTCTATCCCTTGGAACCACAGTTCTACTCTGATTTTCTGGTGGTTAATTAGAGATAAGATTCTCAGTCTTTTCTGCCAGGTGTGGCTTTGAACTCAATCCTTGGGTCTCAGCCTCCCAAGTAGCTAGGATTACAGGCATGAGACACCAGCACCCAGTGTCAATCATTTATTTTCTTAATAGGTCCTAAGTGTTCCTGTTTCTGAACGTTTTTATTTATAAGCACAATGCCTGGCACATAGTAAATAGGGACTAAATGTTTGATTCAATGAAATAAATAATTTGGAATGTTCTTCCCACCTCAAGTAGTGACTTTTAGGAAAAATCTCTCCTTCCTGCAGTACTTTATGTGTATCTCTTGGAAACTCGTTATATCTCTCATTATGTTGCATTTTTCATGTATTCTCATGTGTTTCCTATTTTTCACTCTTCATGTACCACATAGGACCTAGCACAATGGTATACATTGGTATATATCAAAAATATGGGGCAAGGGGGCTGGGAAGGTGGCTCAGTGGTAGAGTACTTGCTTTGCATGCATGAGGCCCTGAGTTCAATTCTTGAGCACCACATAAGCTGAAAAAGCTGGAAGTGGCGCTGTGTGGCTCAAGTGGTAGAGCACTAGCCTTGAGCTGAAGAGCACAGGGACAGCCGCCAGGCCGAGTTCAGGCCCCACTGCGGGGGGGGGGGGGGGGGGGGCGGGGAGGGGAGGGGAAGGAAGAGAGGTTTTAAATATATATATATATATATATAATATATAAATATAAGTATATGGGGCAAGTAAATAAATATTGAGCTTTGAGGGAAATAATGCCTCATTCTTCCATGTTTATAACACAGTTACTAAATGGGGGCATTCAAGGAAATGGAAGACCTATTATGGGTGGGGAAAAGGTTTGTCCTACAAAAGGGATTCTTCTCCAAGCTAAAAAGTGGTAGTAAAGGATAAGGACAGGGAGGAAGTGGAATATACAGAGAAAGGCAGAGCTCATGCTGGCATAGAACATGGCAAATGATGTTCTTTGAGCTACTTTTTAAAGTGTCCCAGAAGTACTAAGCAGGAAAGTGGCATGTGTTTTAACAGCAATTGTCAGACACAGGTAATCCCCAAAGCAACCCTGGGTAGCAAGTCCTCCCTTACAGCTGGAAGCAGACCCAAGGATATTGAGACTCAATGGCCTTGCAGGATGATGTAAGCAGAAGCAAGGGTAGTAATTCCAGTGGCCAGGTGATCCTTCTCCTTCCCACTTCCTCTCCTGCCTTTGAACTGGCCTATATAATTCAGGCTGTCCTCAAACTATTTTGTCTGTGTGTGTGTGTGTGTGTGTAAGAGAGAGAGACAGTCTACCATTTGAGCTATACTCTCGCTTCTGGCTTTTTGCTAGTTTAATACACATAATACACATAAGAGCCTTAGATTTTTCTGCTCAAGATAGCTTTGAACTGCAGTTCTCAGATCTCAGCTTCTTGAGCCGCTAGGATTATAAGCATGAACCACTGGTGCCTGGCTTAGCCTGGAACTCGTTTCAGTCCAGAGTGTTGGGGGTACTATCATGCCCGGCCTGCAGTGCTTTTAATGCCATGCCGTTCCAAACCAGACGGTGAATATATAAGACATCTGTGGAAGCAAAGCTGAGAACTCCAGAACTTTTTGCTTTCCCTGTCACTATTGTCATCTGTGCAGACTTAAGGTTTCAAATGGCTAAATGTGCCTCCTGGTTCCTATGGGAACCTGGGAGCAGTAAGCTCCATAGCTCAGTCTGGATAACCTCATAGAGAAAACATTTTCTTCTCTCTCTTGAGAACTTGGCTAGTTTCCAACATATGACCTTTGGGGTAAGGATTTCAGTTGACTAAACAATAACTGGGGAGGATGTAGCACAGAAGCATCCCAGAGTATATGGCCAAACAGGAATTTCTCTTCTAAAGGAGATGCCCAAGCAGAAAGCTCTCCGAGAAAGAGAATGATGTCAACAGGCCTAGAGAGGACATGCTACAGTGCCAACTCATTAGTCATAGGCCAAAGGGGAGGAGAAAGCAATGTGAGGGGCAGGGCCACTTCAATGACTGCCCAAGTTGAAGGGCTACTCAGATGCTCTAATCAGGCTTCCCATGCCTTCCACTGCTAGCATGGTAAATGTTGAGACATAAAGTACTAGCTCTATCCTAGCTTTGCTACTCATTAACCGTGTGACCTCAGATTACTAATTTAACAATGTACATCCCATCATCTGTAAAAAGAAAAAGTTTTGGTTAAATGATCCACAAATTCCACTCTAGCCTTCTGTGACAACAAACACATCCATGAAAGTCAGCCTTGATCCCTGGGAGCAGCCAAGGCTAACCAGAAGTCAGAGTAAGGACAAATAAAAATGTTGACTCATACACCAATATTATATTTGTCATCACATTCCAGAGTTAAAAAAACAACAAAAATAAAGAAAATGAAAATTATTAAATCACCATTAACAAGTTTTAATTTTTTCTCTCAAACTCATGTTAGGTTTTAAGAAAAAGGAAACTGAGGAATCTAAACATCTGTAGGGACCATCAACACTCCTTAAAAGTCAAGCTACCACAAGGCCCTTGTGTCATCCTTCTCCACTGAGCACTTATTTTTTCTGATGTGGAAAATGGGTTACTACCAACTATAATTTGAATGATGGGGAGTGGGCTATCCTCCTGTTGACATTCACCAGGCTGGTTCTCTCTGTTTTGCAGATACAAACATACTGCTTAGTGCAAGTGAATTCATGCATTTGATGTGTTTAGGATTCTTATTATTCAAATAGTCCCAATCATAACCACATGCAGTAGGGGTGTGTGTGTGTGTGTGTGTGTGTGTGTGTGTGTGTGTGTGTGTGTGTGTGTGTGTGTGTGTGTGTGTGTGTGTGTGTGTGTGTGTGTGTGTGTGTGTGTGTGTGTGTGTGTGTGTGTGTGTGTGTGTGTGTGTGTGTGTGTGTGTGTGTGTGTGTGTGTGTGTGTGTGTGTGTGTGTGTGTGTGTGTGTCCTAAGAACATATCCTAAAGGATGGGAAGGGGAAACAAAGGAGGAGGCTACAATGCTTGATAAGAAATGTACTCATTATCTTGCCCATGTAATTGTAACCTCTCTGTACAGTATTTTCACAATAAAAAAAAAAGAACATATCCTAACATAACTTAGCTATGGTTCTGATCATCAGTGAAAATCTGTGCCAATTAGAACAATTAATGCAAAGTATACACTGATGAATTGAAGAGATATTGGCTCTCCTAACTTACACGTAAGGTTTTGACAAAATTCATCATAATTGAGATGAAAGGCAATTGAAAACATCACACAGCATAACAGGTAGTGTCTAGAACATACTATCTCTTTGAAAGCCTGGAGATTAGTTTTAAATTAGTTTTAAAGTCCAAGGTCATAGGGAAGACAGGGGACTTTGGACCTGTAGCCCTAGCAGGTTTGGAAATAGCTCTAAGGTCATAAATTCTAGACTTAGACCTCCACAAAAATACCCACACTAAGGCTGTGGGTGGTAGTTTGGAAAGATCAAAGTCAGTGGCTAGTCTGGGCAAAAAGTTATCAAGATCCCATCTTAACCAACATGGTAGTTTGTGCCTGTCATGCCAGATATGTAAGAAGTGTAAACAGGAGGACAGTGGGTTAGGCCAGCCTTGGAATGAATCTGAGATGCTATTCTAAAAATTGCTGGGTGCCAGTGCCTCAGGACTATATTCTTAGCAACTCAGGAGAGTGAGATCTAAGAGTCACAGTTCAAAGCTAGCCTGGGCAGAAATGTCTGTGAGACTGTTACTTCCAACTAAATAGCACAAAGCCAGATGTAGAGCTGCGGCTCAAGTGGTAGAGTGCCAGCCAGCCCTGAAAAAAAAGATCACAAGGCCCTGAGAATTCAAGTCCCAGTATTGGAACAAAAACAAAAACAAAAAACTAAAAGCAAAATAGGGGCTGGTACCATGGCTCAAGTGCTAGAATGTCTGCCTGGCAAGAGCACAGCTCCATGTTCAAACACCAGTATGGCCCCCCAATACATAACGCTATGTTAAAGGAATAGTTATATTATATGCACATATATGTAAACCATAGAAAGCTAGCTGTATACAAATGTACTTATTGATCTAGAGTCCTTTACCAACAAGCAAAAGAAAGCCATTTACATTTTTCTACAGAATTATATAAATACATATTTCTAATAAAATACATATAAAATAGATCAGTTGATTAATAAACACATTCAAAACAATTCTGGAAAAAGGTTTTCAATCACTTTTATTGATTGATTGACTGGTTTTTTAGGGGGAGGGGCAGTACTGGGGCTTGAACTCAGGGCCTGTATGCTGTCCCTTAGATTTTGTGCTCAAGTCTAGCACTCTATCACTTGGGCCACATCTCCATTTCTGGCTTTTGGGTGGTTAACTGGAGATAAGAATCTCATATACTTTCCTGCCAGGGCTAGTTTTAAACCACAATCCTCAGATCTCAGCCTTCTGAATAGATAGGAATACAAGTGTGAGCTGTTGGTGCCTAGCTTTACTCATTTTAAAAGTATCAACTTTTTAATATGTTGTCATATGTCACAATTACTGAGATTTTTTCTTTTGTTTTTGAGACACTGTCCTACTATACAGTCTAGGCTGGCCTCTAACTTACTATATAGCCAGACTGGCCTTAAACTCATGATCCTACTGCCTTAGCTTCCCGAGTGCTGGGCTTTTCAGCATGTGCCACCATACCTAGCAATCATCAAGAAATCTGAAAGATCTTTAAATTACTATGTTTAGATATGAGATCTTATATACCATGTTCCAGTTTCCTCTAGTTCCGAACTATACATTCTCAGAGAAGACAGAAAGAGGTGTCTCACCTTGATAATCTTTTCTACGCCAGAAGAGCAGATCATGTAGGTGTGGGGATTAAATCGAACCTGGTTAACAATAGACCGATGCCCTTTCAGCACCATGAAGGCACCATTGACCACCCTGCCAATGCCACCTGAGAAGATAAAAAGAAACACAACAAATGATGCGATGAGTAAATACATTCCAGTAATGGCAGATAAATAGCTCCAAACAGAAGCTGAGGTTAACTATACTCCCAGCAGAATGCTTAATCTGACAGATAAGGTTGCTATGGAAAGAGGGATGAAACACCTCTCAGCAAATACACTCTTACTAAAGACCTTTATTTAGCTGTGAGCACTGCCCACGGCCTACCCACTGCAATCCTATTATCAAAAAATAAAAGAGACCTAATCTACTTAAAATATTCCTTAAAGTTTTTGATCCTAGATTTAGAAGCCTAGATTTAGAAAAGCTAATAGAATAAAATGAGACTGAGACTAAATTGCTAAAACTAGCAGAGACATGCACAGGACCAGAAAAGCATGTGATGATTTAAATGTACACAAGACTTCTTTGATCCTTTTACCCTCAATTTCTGATGAAGACAGGGAAATAAAACCTTCATGTTGAAAGAGGATGAATATCACTGAAATAAATTGCTCACAACTATGAAAACTGAACAAGGAAATCTGTTGATATTGTTTTCGGAAGAAGGGAAGGGGGAAAGTGGGAAAGGGTCAGAGAGAGAGAGGATCAGATTGATGAAAAACATTGTAAATAAATATGTGTGGAGCTGTGCCAGTGTCTCATACTTGTAATCTTAACTACTCAGGAAGCTGAGATCTGAGGATCCAGGTTCAAAGCCAGCTTGGGCAAGAAGGTCCATGAGATTTTTATCTCCAATTAACCACCAGTAAACTGGATGTAGAATAGTGGCTCAACTGGTAGAGAGCTAGAGTTGAACAGAAAAGCTCAGGGACAGTGCCCAGGCCCTGAGTTCAAGACCTAGGACCAGCAAAAAAAAAAAAAAAAGTGTAGAAACATAACAATGAAACTCCTCTCTATAAAACTAATGTAACCTAATAAATAAAAAGGTAATAGGATATAATTTAAAATTTTTACACCCACTGGCCAAATATTATAAAATATTTTTTGGCCCTGGGGCTTGAACTCAGGACGTGGGCACTTGAGCTCTTCTGCTCAAGGTTGGCTCTCTATCTCCACTACCTCTACCCTCTACTTTAGACACTTTTGGGTAGTTAATTGGACATAAGAGTCTCATAGGCTGGCTTCAAACTGCGATCTTTAGATCTCAGTCTCCAGAGTAGCTGGGACTACAGTCGTATGACACCAGTGCTCAGCTCTTTTTATTTTTTAAACAAGAGAGACGTGCCACTTTTATAATAAGCAGGGCCCAAGGGTTTGAACTACAGAATGGGCCTTGAAAATACCATGTATGGATTAAAGTAAACAGGCTAATGACAGGAAAGTTGCTCTCTCATTGTCTTACTGCATATATATGAGGCTTGTTCTTTCTTCCTTCCTTTTTTTCCTTCCTTCCTTCTTTCCCTCCATCAGTGCTGGGGCTTGAACTGAGGGTGGCACTATCCCTGATTTCATTTTGCTTAAGGCTAGTGCTCTACCACTTTGAGCCACAGTACCATTTTCAGTTTTTGTTTTTGTAAGTTGTGGGGCTTGAACTCTGGGCCTGGGCGCTGTCCCTCAGCTTTTCAGCTCAAGGCTAGTGCTCTACCATTTAAGCCACAGCACCACTTCCAGGGTTTCTGAGTGGTTTATTGGAGATAAGAGCTCACTTTGACAGGGACTTTTCTGCCTGGGTGGTTTTGAACCTCAATCCTCAGATCGCAAGTCTCCTGAGTACCTAAGATTAAAAGCATGAACCACTGGTGCCCAGCTTCTTTCTTTTCTGAAATGGAGTCTTGCTTTGTGGCCCAGGGTAGCCTTGAACTGTGCTTCTCCTGTCTTAGTTTCCCAAGTTCTGGGATTATAGATATACCCATCACACACAGAGAGCATTGCAGAGCTACTGTTTTTCTTCAGAGAATGAGGAAAGTACCAGAAGCCTGGATATTATGATACAGATAGAAGATGTCAAATACTCATCATTCTAAACATCTTTTCATTATCACAGGATTTGAAGGATAAATGACAATACTCCTTATGTCTAAATACTCTGTTTCTAGAGGTAAGTCTTGACACAACTCTTTTGCAACTTAGAAGAAACCTTTTTTTTAAAATCTTGGATATATATCTTTTTTTTTTTTTTTTGCCAGTCCTGGGACTTGAACTCAGGGCCTGGAATTTGTCCCTGAACCTCTCTGTGCTCAAGGCTAGTGCTCTACCCCTTGAGCCACAGTACCACTTGTGACCTTTTCTGTTTATGTGGTACTAAGGAATTGAACCCAGGGCTTCATGCATGCTAGGCAAACATACTACCACTAAGCCACATTCCCAACCCTCTTTTTTTTTAATGAAAGAAAAAAGTTTCAGTTTGTACTGATTTGATTTGTTCCTTGGTAGTTCCAATTTACTCAGTTCTAGATGTTTATTCTACTTGGTGGGTGGCTACTGCCTAAATATTTTCCTGTTGACTTTTATAAGTATTTGAATTGTCCAGGTTGTGCAATACATTTAAAGCTACCCATATTTCAGCACAATATCATCAAGTTTGCTATTAAATCACAAAGGAAGAGACTGACTAGGCTATAGAACTAGAGCGTTTTTAATGAAGAAAAAAGGATAAGGAAAGGCTAAGCAATAAGGTAGGCTGTTGTGGTGGGAACTCTAGACAGTCTGGGTTCACTGGGGTCCTAGGGTATGAAGGGAGGAGGGTAAATAACCAAAACCTAGGCATACTTGAGGGAATTAGAGAAGAGGAATCCATAGGAATTTAAGCAACCTACAATAGTTGCACAGATACAGATATCTCAGCACCTTCAAGGAGTTCCCTTGGGTCTATTTCTTTTCTAGATGAGGTTAAATTGACAAGATCCTTCTTATCCATGGTTTTCTGCTGAATTCTACTTGTCTAAGTTCTTATTCCTGACCCTACCCCAATATTGGAGTTGTCACTAACAAAGATACTTTGGGTTAAACCTAGTTCCATTCTATCACCTCTGTTTGGCTATAATACCTAATAACCTTACCTTTGACAGAGGGGCTAAATAGGACTGGAATGAGAGGCATAAAGCTAATTTATAAATCTTTCTGGCAGCTGAGTTTCTTTTTTTCTTTTCTTTTCTTCTTTTTAGAGTCCTAGAGCTTGAACACTGGGCCGGGGCACTGTCCCTGAGCTTTTCTGTTCAAAGCTAGTACTCTACCAATTGAGCCATAGTTCTACTTCTAGCTTATGGTGGTTAATTGGAGGTACGAGTCTCATGGGCTTTCTTTGAACTGTGATCTTCAGATCTTAGCCTCTTGAGTAGCTAGGATTATAGGCATGAGCCATCTGCACCTAGCTTGGCAGTTGAGTTTCAAGTCCTAAATTAAATGGGGATGAAAAAAATTCTATCCAATGATATCCTTAGGAGACATTTCATCACACTAACAACACTGAATGTTCAATGAAAGTAGACACGGATCTGTTTATTCTTATAAACCTAGAACATGGGCACAAGTCCTAAAGTACAGCAGATCCCTAGTAAGTACAACAAAGTGTTTGGGGACAAGGCCCCAGTGTTCAAGAATCAGCTACACAGAATTAAAGATTATTAACAAATCATTCTGTCAAAGGTCACATAGACTCAATTATATTAACTTTTGCATCTAAAGAAAATTTGAAAGCCAGGTGCTGGTGGCTCATGCCTGTAATCCTAGCTACACAGGAGGTTGAGATATAAGGATTGTGGTTCCAAGCCAGCTCAGGTAGGAAAATCTGTGAGACTCTTATCTCTAATCAACCACCAAAAAACCGGAAGTGTTGCTCAAGTGGTAGAGTGCTTGCCTTGAGCTGAAGAGCTCAGGGCCAGCACCCAGGCCAGAGATCAAGCCCCATGACCATCCAAAAAAAAAAAAAAAAGAAAAGAAAAAAGAAAGAAAGAAAAGAAAAGAAGAGAAAAGACAAGAAAAGAAAATTGAAGGAAGTTGGGCACCTGTGGCTCATGCGTGTAATCCTAGCCAGTAGCTACTGGGGAGGCTGATTATCAGGAAGATGATGGTTCACGGCTAGCCTGGACAAAAAGAGAAGTTCATGAGACCCCTTCTCAACAGCCCACAGCTGGGTAAAGTACACACATGTCATCCCAAGACAACCGAGAGTGGGAAGACTGTGGTGCCAGGCCAGTCTGGAAAGAAAATTCCATGAGACTCTATCTTATTGGAAGGCTAGCAAGCTTGAAGACCTAAATCCAAATCCTATTACCATTCCCCAGAAAGGAATACTTGAAGGCTATGAATGTCTGAAAGTTCAGACCATGGAAAAATAGATTCTTTTGCTATTTCATGTACTGTGACTTCATCTGATTTGTCCTCTTCCCAGCATTTTTATGTTTTATTTTGAGACAAGGTATGGTTAAGTAGCTCAACCTGGCATTAAAACTCACTGTGTAACACAGGCTGATCTCAAACTCATGATCATCCTGTTTTCTGCCTCCAGACTACAGAATTATAAGCATGTACCACCACGCTGGTGACCAGAAATACTTCTTTCACTTGAAATGGAGCCTCCCTACACTGGTCAGGCTGGTCTCAAACTCATGGACTCAAGAAATCCTCTTAACCCTAGTTTCCCAACTAACAGTGCTGCACCTGCTTTTGGCATCAGTTTTAATGTGTTTTTTTCTCCTTCCCACTCAAACTAGTACCATTGGTCCCTATGAAATTTGTAAAAGAGGATGAAGTCAACAAAGCCAAGAAATTGATGGAGAGATTAGGCATAGGAAGAATTACTACTGCTATCTTTAAGGTAACCAAAATTGTATTCACAGAATCATAGCAATTAATGGGCTAGAAAGAGGTTCTCTATGGAAGGCGCTGGTGGCTCACACATGTAATCCTAGCTATTCAGGAGGCTGAGATCTGAGGATCTCCGTTCAGAGCCAGCTGGGGCAAGAAAGTCTATGAGACTCTTAGCTCCAATTAACCAACAGAAAACTGGGAGTGGTGCTATAGAAGTAGTAGAGCACTAGCCTT